AGGGGATGTTGTGTATTTCATTTTTTACTTAGATTTATTTCTATCAAATACAGGCCATACAGGAACTAATGAAAATCCACGGACAAGATCCTGTTTCATTTCAAGATGTCAAGGTTATCTTTTCCTTTAATTTACATATTACCAGATAATTGTGAGATAGTCATTTGTATTACATGAAATTTTATATGAAAGCAAGTAATGAAGTACTATTTGAATCAAGTATTTGCTTTTTGTTCTGAACTGATATTTAAATCATTACGAACTGAGACCACATTTGGACTATTTATATAGTTTATAATTTTAGTATTGTCATCACTATGTTCTCATTGGAGGCATTCATTCATTTTAATTGAAAATTAAGACAGTCAGGGGGCCGGGCGCAGTGGCTCACGCTTGTAATCCCAGCACTTTGGGAGGTCAAGGCGGGCGGATCACCCGAGGTCAGGAGTTCAAGACCAGCCTGGTCAACATGGTGAAATCCCGTCTCTACTAAAAATACAAAAATTAGCTGGGTGTGGTGGTGCATGCATGTAATCCTGGCTACTCGGAAGGCTGAGGCAGGAGAATCGTTTGAGCCCGGGAGGTGGAGGTTGCAGTGAGCTGAGATCGCGCCACTGCACTCCAGCCTGGGCAACAAGAGTAAAACTCTGACTCAAAAAAAAAAAAAGAAAATTGAGACAGTCAGTACAGTCTACATCCTACGGCAGTCTATTCAACTGTAAACTGAATTTTTACCTTGGAAACTGTTTAGGTTCAGGCACTTTTTTTTAGTATGCTACCTCAAAGAGCCTGTTCACCTGAGTAATTTTACTACAAATTTTATTTTACTACAAATTTTGTAGTAATTTTACTACAAAAAGATTAGAAAACATGTACTAATTCCCTGTAAATATCTGTTGTACACTTCATAATATAGAAGGAGGTCTTCTATATGTTCCAGTAAGTTTTAGCAGCATTTAGCTTCTTTTTGGATATCTAATGCATATCCAGAAAGAAGAACTCCTCTCCTATCCTAATAAAATGTTGACATCAATATTGGAAATGAAGCTTTGTCACTATCTCTGAAACATTTAGATGTTTAATTGAGTTGAACCATTAGCAAAAAAAATTAAACCAAACCCTTGTTAGCCGAGTGTGGTGGTACGCAGCTGTAATCCCAGCTACTCGGGAGGCTGAGGCAGGAGAATGGCTTGAACCTGGGAGGCAAAGGTTGCAGTGAGCCAAAATCACACTACTGCACTCCAGCCTGGGTGACAGAGGGACACTCCATCTCACACAAAAAAAGAAGGGGCTGGGCACGGTGGCTTACGTCTGTAATCCCAGCACTTTGGAAGGCCAAAGCAGGTGGATCACCTGAGGTCAGGAGTTTGAGACCAGCCTGACCAGTATGAAGAAACCCCGTCTCTACTAAAAATACAAAAATTGGCCGGATGTGGTGGTGTATGCCTGTAATCCCAGCTACTTGGGAGGCTGAGGCAGGAGAATCGCTTGAACCCAGGAGGCACAGGCTGCGGTAAGCCGAGATCACACCATTGCACTCCAGCCTGGGCAACAAGAGTGAAACTCTGTCTCAAAAAAAAAAACAAGGCTGGGTGTAGTGGCTCACGCGTATAATTCCGGCACTTTGGGAGGCCAAGGCGGGCAGATTACTTAAGGTCAGGAGCTTGAGACCAGACTGGCCAATATGGTGAAACCCCATCTCTACTAAAAATACAAAAATTAGCTGGGTGTGGTGGTGTGCACCTCTAGTCCCAGCTACTCAGGAGGCTGAGGCAGAAGTATTGCTTGAACCCCGGAGGCGGAGGTTGCAGTAAGCCAAGATTGCTCTACTGCACTCCAGCCTGGATGACAGAGCGAGACTCCATCTCAAAAACAAAACAAAACAACAAAAACTACAGACAAAACCTTGTTTCACCACCAATTAGAAAGGCAATAGAAAAATATGTAAGAAATTAGTTAACATGCAGTCCCTGAACACTGCATTAAATAGTTCTGCCACTAATTACCTATGTAGCTGGATTAGATGCTAAGCCTTGGTTTCTGCATCTACAAAATGAAGGACAGCTATCACATAGCTAAGGAGTTATCCAATAAAATTTTGTGATTGTAGGTAGAGAAAAGGAAACTGCCTGTTAAATGGAAAAGAAAAAAAGTAGAACAAAAAATTAACATAAGCCCAAGTGGCAGCCCTCAATTTTATTCCTCCATACTTCAGTGGATGCAGACAGCCCTGAATTTTGGATCACGACGTGTGATAGAAATTAAGTGGATCAAATTTCATTGTATTTTTTTTCTCTTGCAGGATGAAATCTTTGACATGGTAAAGCCAAAGGATCCTTTGAAAATCTCTCTTCAGGATTTAATCAACAGTAATCAAGGAGACACAGTAACCACCATTCTAATCGATTTGAATGGCTTCTGGACTTATGAGAACAGAGAAGCTCTTGTTGCAAATGACAGTGAAAACTCTACAGACCTTGATGATACATGATCTCTGAAAGACTAGACTGTCTTATATTAAGAGATACTTGAATGCTGCATGTAAAGCCTTTAAAGCAAAATCCTCAGAATGGTCTAAATAAAACACTTGATATGCCTAGAGAACACAGCAAATGTTTTGGTTACTGGAATTCTGGTTGCAATAGTTTAGAAAAAATAGGACCAAATATTGCTTGTTAGGAGGTAGGGTAAGTTCTGGTTCCTTTTAGTTCAAAGATGGGAAGTGTGATTTGCTGTAGATAGATGATGTTCAGTTTAAACATGTATAATCTTCAGAGATGAAGTTTCCATGGAATATTTCTGACAGTCATTTAGAATATGAATATTTGACTGACAGTGCATATATATACACACACATAGATTTTATATATGTATATATATATAAAATCTCAAAGATTACAAACTTTCCCATTCATTAGAGTAGAGCCATTTTATTTCTGGGTTAGGATTAGGATTTTTTTTTTTAGGGGGTTCAAGTGATTCTCCTGCCTCAGCCTCCTGAGTAGCTGGGATTATAGGTGCCTGCCAACACACCTGGCTCATTTTTGTATTTTAGCAGAGCCAGGGTTTCACTATGTTAGCCAGGCTGGTCTCGAACTCCTGACCTGAACTGATCTGCCTGCCTCGGCCTCGGCCTCCCAAAGTGCTGGGATTACAGATGTGAGCCATGGCACCCAGCCTTTTTGTTTTTCGTTTTTTGTTTTTTTTTTTCCTTGAGACAGTCTCCCTCTGTTGTCCAGGCTGGAGTGCAGTGGCATGATCTCTGCTCACTGCAGCCTCCACCTCCCAGCTTCAGGCAATTCTCCTGACTCAGTCTCCTGAGTAGCTGGGACTTCAGGTGTGCACCACCATGCCTGGCTAATTTTTGTATTTTTAGTAGAGATGGGGTCTC